CATGCTTTTCAGTTCTGGCCACTCCACAGGGAGGCAGGTGTATTGGGAAGCCCCTTTGCCCAGTACGTGTGAGATTAATACCTGGGCTTTGAAAAGTCCATGACCCAGTGCCTGTCCCTGTGTCGGAGGGAGGGTGGCCACCTGCTGGTCTGGTCTTCCTGGTGAGCGCTGCTGAGACCCTGCCCCAGCAGGTGCAGCCTGGCCGTGAGTCAGATCACTGGGAGCCTGGTGGTGTTTCTGAAGGCTCCTGTATACACAGCATGGACATGGAATCTATCCTGAGGGCAGGAGGGAAGGGGGAAAAATTGGGGGGGGGGGGGCCGGGAACAGCACGTTACCCCTGGGGATCCTGTGTTAGCTCTGGCTGTTGTAACAAAAGACCCCAGACTGGGCAGCTTACATGACAGGATTTACTTCCTTACACAGTTCCCGAGGCCAGAAGTCCAAGATCTAGGTGTTGGGAAGATCATGCTACATGAAATCTGAGCAGGTAAAGAGCCTGACAGATGCCTTGGGCCTCTGGCACCAGAAGCCACGAATCTAGACAGTGGGAAGTACTGGTCATCAAGACATTTTTTTCTCAGAAAATATCAGCTTCTGTTGTTTCAAAGGCCAACCCGAGAGCCAGGAAGGTCCACGAAGGCAGGGAAACAAAAGGAAGGAAATGGTGGCAAACTCGGGTGGACGAGGAGGTGCCCACGGTCAGGAGTGGCCAGGACTCGACCTGCAGGAGAAGGTGGCTATTTGTGGCCAGAAGTCCAGGTCAGAGTAAGAAAAGCCAGCCTCTCTCAGCCCCCAGGCAGCCCAGTGCAATCTTGTCGGAGTGATGAGGACACGGTATGACAGGCAATAGGGCCACATCTGATCATGAGTCACACATGGGAAGAGGCCCACACTTGGGGCTGGTGGCAGAGATGTGCCAGGCACTGCCATGGCCGTGACGACCCAAAGGGCAGTGTGGATTTGGACCCGTGGAAGCCTGGCAATTGACAGTTTCTTCTTAGTACTTTGTCTACTTCCTCTCCCCACCCCCTCCCCTGTTCCACACCCCTCGGGAGAACCTACAAGAATAAGAATGCATGCCAGTTATTTTTTAAGGGGCCAACTTACTTTAAGCAAGTATGCAAGGTTTTTATTTGCTTTGTAAACAGTCCTCACCTTAAAAAGCATTTCTAATATACTGAAACAAAATCCACAATAGACTAACGTACAACAGGCTATAGAGTGATTTACTCTGCTGTATTTGTCTTGTGACAACACCTATGATGATAAAAACTCTCAAAACTGCAGCCACAAGGCTCTCCCACCTTCTCCTGCCTCCTGCGCCCAGCTCTGCGCGCCTAGGGAGCCTTGCTTAGCAGGAAGTCCTGGCGCTGTGCTGCTGGCAGCCTCTGGCTGACCCCAGCACCTCCCAGGACAGAGGTGGCTTGTGTTGAACTGCTTTTGTAAGTGCTGCCAGGACAGATTTCCACCAGGTGCTCTGCACCCAAGGTCTGGGGCTTTTATAGGGGGCTTGTCTAAAGATCTCTGAGACAAGAGAGAGAGAGAGAGGGAGGGAGGGAGGGAAGGAGGGAGGGAGGGAGGGAGGGGGGGAGGGAGGGAAGGAGGGAGGGGGGGAGGGAGGGAGGGAGGGAGGGAGGGAGGGGGAGAGAGAGAGAGAGAGAGAGAGAGAGAGAGAGAGAGAGAGAGAGAGAGAGAGAGAGAGATTGGCTTCAAAGTATACAAATAAGAATCCCAAATGGATCAGTTTCATTAAACATCTACAAATGCAATATTGTATATCTCACTAGTATTCAAACACATTCAATACATTTGAAAACAATTTGTCACATAACATTTCTTTTGAGAAATTTCCCAGTATTCATGATCGTTATTAAATCATTATTAAGCGTAGAGATTGCCAAATAACTTTAGAAGTAAAACATGAAAAAAATCTGCAGAGAATGTGCCGCTAAGGTGGGATGAGAGTGCATGTTAATATTTGATGAGTGGAGAAACCTTCAAATGCCAGGCCTAGGGCAGCAAAGTCCCAGGGAGAGGTCCTGCCAGCCAGTGCAGTTCCACATCTAGTAGCCATGGTAACAGAAATATGATCAGGTGAATTCATTTTATTATTCAACATATCACTATTTTTGTACCAACTCTTTGAAATCTGCTGTGCATTTTATATTTATTTACACCTCAATTCACACTAGCAGCATGTAGGCCTAGAGCTTCAAATTAAAACTCGGTTTAAAATAGCCCTCATCCCCATCTGGGGAGATACAGGTTTCATCATCTTCCCCAAACCAGGGGCAGGAATCATGCTACAGGGTAAGTGGTGTTCAGTGTCTCCTACACCATCAGCAACCAGGCCTCAAGGTCCAAGAAGGAAACCAACAGGGACATTCAATTCTTAAGTAGAAAAATCAGGACTCTGGCCTCTGAAAAATTGTTGCTTTCAGCTTTTCCAAAGGAGGCCATCAGTTTTTCTAAAGATAAAAATGCATTGTTTTAAAAAATATTCTTTTCACAGGATAAATAATCCCTCGGCTTCACTTTCCAAGTATCTTACACGCTCAGTAACAAGAGCAAACCGGGAACCTACATTTTTTCTAATAAAGTTAAGCCCCTGAAATTGAATACAGAACCTGTCCCCAATAGTGGTGTTGGAGTCACTGGCACCACCTGCTGGCTGCACCAAAGCACAGCATCACCCTTGGGGAATCCTCTTAGACAACAGAGGGGCTTCTCTCCATTGGAGTCCGCATTTCTCAGGAGGGACAGCAATGACTCTGCCATCAGCAGGCACTCACATTGCCCCACCAAATCCCACCCTGGCATCCTCTCGCCCAGGGGTCCGGGCCTAAGGCCATGAATGATGGGGTCAGGCAGGCGGGATTCAGCAGACCCCCAGCGGAAGCGGGCTCAGACGTGTGCTGCATCCCAGAGAGCTGACTCGAAGACAGGCATGTTCACACAGAACATCGTTTCCAGTTACCAGGATCTGCCTCCTAGAACACGGTCAGACGTGTACCTTCCTGTGGACAACTCCTACATCTCTAATGACATCTCATTTCAGCATCGTCCCAGTACGTCGTCCTTCCCACCAGTTCGCGTCCCCTCAGTAAGGAGAAAGCCTATTCCCACGGAGTGGAAAAGCCTGGGAGAACCAGTCGGATAAGTCAAATGAAAGCAGAATCCCAGGGCAAGGCTAATGTCCACTGTAAAACCTTCTCAACTCTTCTGTATGTCAGAAACTCATTTTTATTTTTACTGATTTCAGAGAGGAATGGAGAAACATCAATGATGAGAATCATTGATCAGCTGCCTCCTGCATGCCCCCCACTGGGGATTGAGCCTGCAACCTGTTCATGTTCCTTTGAGTGGAATCGAACTTGAGACCCTTCAGTCCACAGGCCAACACTCTTATCCACTGAACCACACTGGCTTGGGCTATATGTTGAAAATTCTTACAGTGAAACGGGGGGATGTGTGGGGAACACTACCGTGTCTTCACCATGAGCTTTATAGAGCCCCTTTTATTAACTGGGTATACAGATTTAAATGGCAGAATGATGGCATTTCTTAGAGTCAAGATTACACTTGTATCTTTTTGAATAGAATATGCCATCAAATTTACCAAGTTATTGAGCACCTACTGAACGCAACATGCTGGCTTCTGCAGAGACAGGGAGGTTTAAGGCGGAGAGTTCTCAAGGCTCCTGTGTTTTTGAGGAAACATGAAAACAAATACCTTAAAAGTTTAATGATTTCAATAAATACCTCCTGGTTGACCATCAGCAAGTAAGTGGTAGTCTTTATGCTCCTGGTGGGCAACAGCAGCAAACTCACTCCTGGTTCCTGGCAGCCCAAGGACTTGTGCACACGTTCCCAATTTGCCAGTTACAAAAACGACCCCTTTGGCAATGTGGCAAAGCCAGTCTTGGAAAAGAGCACTTCCGAAAGCTCATGGCTTAGACTCATAATTTTGTGGCTGTGTTCAACTTTAGCTTAAAGAATGTCGGCACCGAGGCTACACTAAAAGCTGTAAATCTACTCCCACTCCAGCGAAAGGGGCTCCTGAGCTAACCAGGCTGGACTCCCTCACTGCCATCTTTCCGACCTCTCTATCTCCCGTCCATATACACCATACAGCCGCAGGGCTCATTCATAAAAGGGAAAATGAGATACAAAAGATGAACTTGAAAATTCAGGTTTTTCTAGTGCCTTTTTCTCTCACAAAAAGATAAAATAAAATAATAACTTTTCAGGCTAAGACAGAGCCGGAGAGTTAATGGATCTGAATTCATTTGTGCTCCAAGTACCAAAGAATTTACACCAAGTGCAGTCTCCTCCAGGAGGAAATTTTATTGTCATTGCTCTTGAGAAGCAGGCAAACACATTGCTTACATGGTGACAATGATTTCCACACTCAGCAAGTTAGTTTACACACCAGCCCCAGACAGTAAAGTGTAAGAAGCATTTGGGATTACAGGGTAAAAACACAATAAACTCCAAAGTCAAACATCAACTAGAATTCCATTTGGTACTTACCAATCAGGAATTTTAAATTATACGAAATAAAAAAGCAACACACCAAAACTATCACTAGGGAATGAGTAGAGCACTTCCCATGCAGGGAACTGGGGTTCTAACTTGGCCACACACACACAGCACCCACTCGGGCCTTGCCTAAAAAGGCCCGTCCCTCAGTCTCCAGGACAGCTGCCCAGCAGAAAAGCACTGGGATGTTAAAGATGGGGAAGGAAGGAAAAGGAAAATGCATTGCAACTCTGCTGGCCCATGCTAGTAAGGGCTGTTGCTAGACATTCCACTTGGTAGAAAGTCATTCACAGCCCAGAATTCCCACCTTTCCCAAGCTTTGAGATCCTGGCATTTCCCAAAGGGCATCAGAAGTCACAAATCAAAACCCACGACGATGCTGAACAGGAATGATCACTGCAGAGCTCACGGGTGCTCTCCAGGCAAGGGAGGAGATGGACAAAGGGAGCTTAGAAGGCAGTCTTTAAAATGTTTTATTACAAAGAACAGTACTGTGTTGATAAAACGTTGCCCAGTGTCTCTAGAACACTCTGTTGAACTGAGCACTGCAGACCAGGGGCCCACAGGACTCTACCTCGGTAATGGCCTCGATCCCTGTAGGGTCAGAGGACTCCTGTAACAGGCAGTGGAATGGACAGACCAGCAGTCACGTGGCCCGAGGGCCCAAATGCTAAACCATGACATTGTTTTCCCCAGGGGTTGAAATCCACATCCATGATTGACAACCCACCAAAAGCCAGGCCCCAGATTCGTCCACATCAGGCAGAGCACAGAGGAAACGACTCCGGACCACAGACGTCTCCGTCACTACTTCTTGTTCCTGGGCTTCAGTTCTTCGGCTGCATTCCGCAGGAAAATGTAATTTTTCTTTTGAGGATTATAAAATTCATGGCCCTGATGGGAAAAACACACACAACAATCTTATTATGAGAAAGCAAAAGTTAGCACTCTGTGGGCACTCTTCACGCCGTACCCAGCACTACGTGTATGAGGCACAGTCTCCGGAGAACAAATGGAGAGAAAAACTAACAGGAACCTCCGTCCTCGGAGAGGAGGCTGGGGACTTGGTGGGATTTGCCTTCCATGTCCCACTTGGAGGAACCACTCTGTCTGTACATGTTTGTCTTGTAGGTGCCACCCCTTTAATAAGCCTAGATGGCCAGCCGATTTGGCTCAGTGATTGAGTGTCGACCTTGATTCTCCGGAGGTCACGGTTCGATTCCCAGTCAGGGCACATGCCTGGATTGTAGGCTTGATCCCCAGAGTGGGATGTGCAGAAGGCAGCCTATCTATGATGCTCCCTCATCATTGATGTTTCTATCTCCCCCTTCCTCTCGGAAATCAATTAAAAAACAAAGCCAAGATGACCACCCTGAGAGAGCAAGGCCCTGGGAGGGCGGCGGACGATTAGCTCTGACATGCAGTTTCATGGAAGAGATCTTCTCATCCATGACTTCACTGGACAAGAGCTTGGCCCAGGGCGAGCTGCCCCAGACCGAGAGGGAAGGGAAATGGAGTGCTTGGTGTGCCTGCTGTGCGTGGAGAGATGCGGCGGGCCGGGAACGCTCACCTTGGACCAGTCGTAGCTGGAAGCATAGGCAAATATGTTTCCGTTGTGATTGAAGCAGCAAGCCGATATGGGCTGATCTAACTGTTCCGAAGTTTTCAGTTTTGTTCTAGCATCTTTGTCCCAGAAGCTGAATCTACCATCAGATCCCACGGTGGCAAGGGTGCCATGAACAGGATGGAATGCAATTCCATTGACCTGCAGGGGTTGACACGCAGTTAGAGGCAGACGGAGGAGGAGAAACCTGCTTTCACCAGCTCGTGCTTCCTGCTTGCAGCTGCTGCGCCTGGTCACAGGAAAAACTAGCCATGCTCCCTCAGCCACCGCCAGCCCAGGACTGGATCGTGGCTCTTGTTAGCAACACAAGTCAACAGAAGGCAACAAATGTGCAACTAGTGACACTGAGGCACAGCCTCAGGAACCACTCTTCGTCCTCAGCAAACAGCAATTTCTCAGGATAAGCCAAGTGAATAAACTGTCGACCAGCACCATGAAGGGGGATGCTCTCCCTCATCAGCCCTGAGCTTGCACTGAGAAGCAGTCAGAGGACGAAGACAGTCAACATGTTCACAAAAACAGAAAACAGCCCCACGGAGGCAGCCGCTTCCCTCGAGCCGTGAGCCCCACATCGTCTCTAGTCCTACAATGACTCAGCCACCCACCTCTGTGTCTGGTTTCTAGGCGCATTCCGTTCTCAAGGTTAAGTTTCTAAAAACATACCGCATAGATGTCCTGAGGAGCTGAAGTATTGGTTCCGTTAGATCGGTGACATTTAAAGGTAAAGTTATCTTTGGCACTGAAAAACAAAGGTCCCAGTTAAGTTTCCCTTTTTTAGAAAAAGTCTCGGTTGAAAATGCACCGCCAACCAAGCCCACTCACGGGTTTGGGGGGTTGATGTAGTGGATGGCTACTCTGCCCTCGATGCTTCCCAGCGCGAACCCTGTCGGCTTGTTCTGCTTGTCTTTAAAGATGGCCACACATCGGTGCTGTAGTTTGAAAAAACAAGATAAGCACATCCTCACAGTTAAAATAAAACATTTCATACGAACTGAAAGGCAAATTACTACTACCCCATTTTCCATTTTAGGAGAACCAGGAAGGTATTACTCAAATACAAGATATTTCTATTCCTCTAGTCAGCACTATTTTCTGACTTCCTTGCTTTCCTCTGTCGCCCCTGAGACCTGGCTGCCACTCCAGCAGTGCCCACGACCCTCAGGACCCCACAGCACCCTACTCTGGTGCTGGCCTCTCGTGAGGAGGGAGAAAGACACATCAGTGTGAATCTTAGCCCAGCAATGACTGGTGGGCACCCTTCACTGTGACCCAGTGTTCTGTGCCTCTGCCCCTCACTGAAAAAGGGAAGCAGTGCCTACCTGGCCATCACTGGGGACCAAGGGTCAAGTGGGACAGGGCTGAGTCAGCGCTTTCTAAACCACAAATGGGCAATGCCGAAGCAAGTCACTGACCTGATCCAACCCTGCATCTGGGGGCCTAAAGGAGCATCTGCTGGATTCCACCCAAGATTCCACAGTAAGAGCCGAGAGCCCAGCCTTCTGGGCAGAGGAGCAAGGCTGGGCACCTCTGGGTCCTCCCTTCCTCCTCCTACTCATGGCAACCTGGCCTACCCCAGACCACCACCCACCATGCCCAAGCTGGACATTTTAGCTTCTGCGGAGGTCAGGAGATGCGGCCGGGGCAGCACGAGATGATGGGAAAAAGCAGTTTGTTATTGTGATAATGCAGAGCACACAAACGTCCTACAAAAATGGAAAGTAGCCGGAACAGGTTTGGCTCAGTGGATAGAGTTGGCCTGCGGACTGAAAGGTCCCGGGTTCGATTCTGGTCAAGGGCATGTACCTTGGTTGCGGGCACATCCCCAGTAGGGGGTGTGCAGGAGGCAGCTGATCGATGTTTCTAGCTCTCTATCCCTTTCCCTTCCTCTCTGTAAAAAAAATCAATAAAATATATATTAAAAAAAAAAAAAAAAGGAAAATAAATGCTGGTTCCCTTGGTGTCATTTGCTCTTTAACCCGTTGTATGCCATAAGCATCTGTAGACGGAAGCGGTGGACCTTCCCCACATGCCATGTGTGTCTTAAAAAAAATGTTTTCCCTAACTAGCAGCCCTGACCAACTTTAAAATCATTTTTCGTGAGAATTTTTAGCTGAAAATATTCAAGAACACCCAAATTGTGAATAATATATTTACTTTTATAATGTTCATTGCAAATAGATTTTTAAAAATTCAAACTATCATGGCGTGTGGGGATGGTTTTCGTTTTGGACGCGTTGCAGTTAACTAATTAAAAACAAATGAACAAAATAGCAAGTTCATTACTTCTGTAAGAAAAGTTAACAAAACAAGACAAAAGTCTGCAAGTACTTGGAGGACAAGAGGAACCACAGCTGGTCAAGCTGTACCCCCGTCAGCCCACCAGCTCGGCACAGGATCTACTGCCCGCACACAGACAGCAACCACACAACTGGGGTACGATTTACAAGAACACATCCATATGGTGACCTGGGGAAGACGGGTGGCATTCCTCAACAAGTGAATGAGCAGGCACCTGGAAGTGAAGCCAGACTAGACTAGGTTTTATCAAGGAGCTTGAATTTACCCAAAGGGCAACGAGGTCAGTTAGGGGGTTGAAGCCAAGGCATGGCAGGGTCATATGTGCTGAGATAGGAGTCCGCACACTCAGGTATGGAGGATGGACTGAAGGACCTAAACACTTCTTGTTACTCAACTGGTTAGGGAGAGGGGTCCAGGTGGTGGGGTCAAAATGAGGTTTGTTTCCTGGGACAAGTGAGAATTGAGCATGTTGCACTAAGCACTATGCAGGGGAGAGACTGAAGGTACAGAAGGGAGCTGGCTGATGAGTGGCAGGAGGTTCCTGAGAAGGCCGAGGGCACGGGTCCTTCCCTGAAACGGGCCCTGGGAGAACAATGCCTCCATCTGACAGCTGGGGATGGGCTAAGGAAGCTCCAAACCATCAGCTTGTTTTCTGAGAAGCTGATCTGAACTCTGAGACAAAGGGGAAAAGAGAGAGAATCTAGGGGACCCAAGAAAGTGAAGATCTAAGAGACTGTGGCAAGTGGAAGACAGAGCAGGAGACAAAAACCTATGACACCTGGGCAAGACGAAGGCACTGTGGAAGGCCGAAGCTATGAACTTACAATAGAACCAGTCCACTGGGAAGTGCAGTTTTATTCAGTAGCACCCAGCTATCAGGAGGAAGTTTAGGAGACAGGTAAGCTGGGCTCATCCAGCGATGAAGAGTTTTCACTCACTAGACATTTGTGTCCTTAAATTGACTCCCTTTGAAAGGGAGTTTAAAACCATACTTGGGCACAGGATGGGTCTAAACCCTGGCTTCTTGATCTGACTTCCAACTCACCTGATGTTTCAGGGGAGATTCTATCCTCCTGAATTCAGAAGGCTGGTTCTCCAACTGATAGACTATCAGTCCCCTCTCCGCAGTTGCCACCACGGCCATAGGATATATCTAGGGAATGGCGGAGAGCAGAGACATGACTAAATAGAGAACTGTGCTTTTAAAAAAAGCCCACCGCCCCCCAATCCAGGAGCGTGCTGTCTTTATACCAAAATATTATATCAAATGTTTTTACAGTTATAAAAATAAGTCTGAATTTTTTCTAAGTTTAAAACCTAATGATATCAACATGTTTTAAGAAAAAATCACATTTAGATAAAATCATTTATTTTTAAAAGACTATTTTCTTTAAAACTATCTTATATAATAAAAGGCTAACATGCAAATTGGGAGTTTGACCAGAGGGGGTGGAGCTGGCTGGCCAACTGCCCACATCCCCTCCCCCAAGCCAGCCTGGCCCCAATCAGCCCTGAAGGCCCACCAGTGCACAAATTATGCACCAGACCTCTAATAAAATATATGAATACTTAGAAAATAAACTTAGGAGTAGAAAAGAAATAAAAATCACCTATAGCTCTTCAAATAATAATAGTTGTTAATGTTATGATAGTTTTATTAATACAACCAGTCTTCATTCTGAGCATTATACATGTATGCATGCGAATGTATGTTTCGATATAATCCGTACCATTAACTGAAAGTATGGATTCTAAGAATACTAGTGACTATCTAATATTCTCTCAAATAATCCTACCCTAGGGTTCATTTAATCATGTCTGCCTTGCTTGCCCTTTAGATCACTTCCCATGTTTCACAGTATTATAACAACAGAGACCATGTGCAGCCTTCTTGTTCTCATGACAAATTTCTGTAAGTGGAATTGCTGGGCAGTTGGTAGACAGCTTGGAGACTGATGACTAAATGGATGGAGAAAGGTCTTCATTTTCTCACCCACAGAGACAGTCCCCACAAATCTAATACTGCCCATATTCCTACAGCCACATGATAAAGGTCATATCCTGATGGCACATAGCTCTCTGCATATACGTATTCAAATGACAAGTGACCAAAAACCTGACACCCACTATTTAGTAATTCTGGAACAAATGCAGCACAAGAATCTGATTTAAGATAACTGAGGCAATCTGGACTATATTCCCTTCCAATTGCAAGATGTCATAAAGTCAGAAAAGCTTTTATCTTTTAAAAGGAAATAGGTATAAAGTTAGAAACTTTACCATGTCGGCACAATAACACCTCTCAGGGAGCTGCAAAACCATCATGGGATTTGATGATCGTGTATCCCAAAACTAAAAGAAAAAAGCCAGAAAGCGACCATTCAGAGCTGAAGCCCAAACAATGTAAGAACAATGAACGCATGTTGACCTGGTCCGGCCACAGGGCCCCTCAGCGGAGTGTACCTTCAAAGTCTTATCCCAGCTCCCGGTCATCACACAGCTGTAGTTCGGGGCTTTGATCCAATGAATGGTTTTCACAGGAGCATCATGCTTTCAACAAGACAAAACCAAAATAGATGAAGGTAAATGTAACTAATGCTAACAGCTTTAGTTCTGAAAGTCCAAAGAGAAGGAATTATTTAAATACTGAGGACATATCAAACAAAACTAAAGGGTATTTTAGCCCTTCACCATGACCAAAACGTTCAAATAATCTAAGAGCCCATGTCTCCCTTCCATTCTCATAACTTAACTGGACTTTACCCACAATTAACTAGCATGTGACAGTGAGAAGGAGTCCCTCCTGGGAAATCATCAGAAATAACTAGTAGGGGACTCCACCAAGGTTTTACTTACTCATTGAGGTGACACACTAAGAGATCAGGAGCTGCCTCTTGACAGAGCATTGTGGCCTGAGTGCGGGACACCTCCTGACACCATCTCAGTGTCCTCATAGATTCCAGTCCCCCGCTCTTGGTTCTCTCATCTTCGCCGCTTCCACCTTTCTTAGCAGACTTCACACAAGAGCCTGCCTTGTCCCTGAGTGAACTATAAGCTCTGGAGCGTGTGAAAGCATCCCTCACTGTTGTACCTCCCTGCTAACAGTGCCTGACATACATCAGGTATTAGGTAAATATTGGCCCAATGAACGAGTGAGCACATGTAGCTGGTAAAAGACAAGCCACCACGGGTACTAAGTGTCAAGCGAGTGAATGTTGAGGGTCACCTGTTACATGCGTCCATTACAGATTTAACTAACTCCTCATGATGCTCTCATCTGCATAGACACGGAAGACCTTTCACAGAGCCGTCTGTGGAGCACTAGTAAGAATGGTCACAAACGGTTCTGTTGTGCTAATGAGGGGGTTTCTGTCTACTTAAGTCTAAGTGAGTTGGTATAATCAAACCGCATCGTTTCTATAAGAGAATCCTAGAAATTAAATTATAGAACTTGAAGGGGCAAGTTCTCCTTACCTGTGCAATCTGTATCGCTTGATTACTGTTAAGGTCCCACATTTTGGCAGTTTTATCACATGAAGCCGTAAAAACCTTGCTCCCATCCTACAATAAAATGGAGAGAATCTGTTGTGCTAATAAAAAAAACAATATCTATATGTATATTTAGATGAGGCTGAATGTAGTCAGGCAGGTTTTGTTCTGCAGTTTTTACTTTCCAATTAAATGGGGCCGCTATACTATAAATGACAATGTCATAAACAAAACACATTTTCAGCTCCATTTTTATTGATTTTTTTATAAGACATGCTATGTAAACAGAATTAACAAATTCAAAGGGCACGGTGAGGACTCGGCCTCTCCCACGTGACACCAGCTCTCTTTTCAGAGGCAGCCAGGGCCCTGACACGTCCTCCAGGAATAGACAGCATATCTGGTATCTATGTCAGTTAACCAGGAGCCACTTACACTTTTTTTCTTATTTTAATCAATTTTAAGCCTTCACAAAAGTTGCAAGAATGAAACAATGTACACCCATAAACCCTCCACTTAGATCCACCAATTACAAACATTTGCCATATTTCCTTTTTCTCTTTATACACACACATGTCTATACTCATTACTTTAAAAAAAATTTTTACATATATATATATATATATTTTTAGAGAGAGAGGAAGGGAGAGGGATAGAGAGTTAGAAACATCGGTGAGAGAAAAACATTGGTCAGCTGCCTCCTGCACACCTCCTACTGGGGATATACCCGCAACCAAGGTACATGCCCTTGACCGGAATCAAACCTGAGACCCTTCAGTCCACAGGCTGATGCTCTATCCACTTAGCCAGGCCAGTTAGGGTTATACTCATTACTTTTGTTCAGCTCCATATCTAATAGCATTCCAAAGGACATGCAATAAAAGGACACTGATATTCAATAATCAGTGGTCCTATGTCAATTACAGAATATCCTAAAAATAGCAGTTCTTGTAAATGGTTTTTAAAATATTCACATACAGAACTCAAAGTAGGCCATTCAAATATGAAGAAGCACAAGATAATTTTTACTGCCTGGCTAGCGTGGTTAAGTGATTGAGTGTCGACCTATATAACATGCTGGGTTACAGGCTTGATCCCCAGTGTGGGGCGTACAGAAGGCAGCTGATCAATGATTCTCACTTATCATTGATGTTTCTATCTCTCTCTCTCCTGCTCCCTTCCTCTCTGAAAAGATATGTATACATATACATATACATATGCATATACATAAATCTGTTTATGTACACACACACACACACACACACACACACACACACACACACTAGCATGCACTGGTGAGGTCCCTAAGCCTGGCCTACAGATATCCCCTGAGGTCCCAGATTGCAAGAGGGCAAAGGCCAGGCCAAGGGACCCCACCAGTGCACAATCTGGGCTGGGGAAAGACCACAGGAAGGCTCCAAGGAGTGTCTGGCCATGTCATCGAGCCCTGATCAGGTCCGACCAGCCAGCCAGGGAACGGTGGGAGGGCTCCAGGGTGTGTCTGGCCCATTTCACACAGTCCCCATTGGCTGAACCCCAGCAGCAAGCTAATCTACTGGTCGGAGTGCCACTGACCTCTGATGGTCAGAGTGCATCATAGCTACAGGTAGAATGGTCGTTTAGGCTTTTATATATATTTAGATATATCCTATCTAATAAAAGCCTAAGATGCTAAGTGTCCGGTCATCCAATCAACCAATCAAAGCATAATGTGCTAATGATATGCTAAGGCAGCCCCCAGGCAGGAGAGGGAGCAGAAGGCCTGGGCTGTCAGCTCTCCCCACCATCTCCACTCCTCCTTTATCCAGGGGGCAGGCCCTCCACAGCTGTAGCTGCCTCTGTGCCTTGCCACCTATCCTTCACCTTCATTAAATACTCCTCAATCAATAGCAACAATAAACAACTACAAAAACCTTGAACATGCTTTTTATGTAGCTGACAGTCAGGATCTGGGAGGGAAAAGGGAATCCCAAAAAACCAAATGTCTTCAAATGTCTAAGAACAGAAAATAATTTATTTTCTAGATAGTAAATTTCTAAATTTTAATATATTTTATTGATTTTTTACAGAGAGGAAGAGAGAGGGATAGAGAGGTAGAAACATCGATGAGAGAGAATCATCGATTAGCTGCCTCTTGCACAACCCCTACTGGGGATGTGCCCGCAACCAAGGCACATGCCCTTGACTGGAATTGAACCTGGGACCTTTCAGTCCGCAGGCCAATGCTTTATCCACGGAGTGAAACCCGTTTTGGCAGTAAATTTCTAAATTTTAAAACAGCATAAGCTCATGGAATATTTAGAAGTAGGAAAGGCCTCAAGAAAAATCCTCTGTTCAAGGTAACCTGTCATTAAAATAATGGATTTTTTATGTAACAAAGCTTTCAGAGATTAAAGCCGACAACAATAACATCAGGAACATCAATAAATTACTATATTTACACTCAGATATCTAGAATTCCTTCAATGTGTACTCATACCTATTATTTGTGTTTGGGGTTATATAAAAACAGAAATATACCAACATTCTGAATACACTGTACTTTATGTAGAAGAAACATGAAAAACTGAATGACACTTACATCACTCCAGCAGACGTCGAGGACAGGCCCCGTGTGCATCTGCTGGGCTTTAGGAATAGTCTGTCCACTGTCTTGAACTTCCCAGCAGCGAACCTATGTAAAAAGACAAGTTAATGCAAATATAGCAATATATGATAAAATATATGCCTTTAAAAACTAGTAACTAATGGAGTACAATTAAAACATATATGGACTTCTAACAATCTACTTATTAAAATCTTAGAATAGCCGAGACCGGTTTGGCTCAGTGGATAGAGCGTCGGCTTGGGGACCGAGGGGTCCCAGGTTCGATTCCGGTCAAGGGCATGTACCTTGGTTGCGGCCATATCCCCAGTGGGGAGTGTGCAAGAGGCAGCTGATCAATGACTCTCTCTCATTGATGTCTCTAACTCTCTATCTCTCTCCCTTCCTCTCTGTACAAAATCAATAAAATATTTAAAATAAATAAATAAATAAATAAAATCTTAGAATAAAGTAATTTTAAAGTATACACAAGTAGTTATTTTCCTATTCCTATTTCTAAGCCATTTAAATCTACAAATTTGTTTGCTTCCATGTAAAACTGCAGATAGTTTTCTCAATATAGCTATGAGCCACATCTGTCTTTTTAGGTAGAATCAAAACCAAAGTGGAAACTTACCTTTCTTCTCTGAATTCTTTGATTTTTTATATAATTTTTCCCCAGTTACAAAAGTAATGCATTTTACTTAGAGATTCTGTAAATATGACATGAAAACCAAAATCACCCTCAACCCACCAACCAGACAGCTAGTTGGCAGCTGTGTGGTCTCAGTCTTTCTAAGCACAGATTTTCTTTGAAAAACGAGACTGCACAGTATCTTCATTTTTGTAATTGCAGTTCCCCTCAACGGGAATTGCATAAAATATATGCCTTTAAAAACTAGTAACTAATGGAGTACAATTAAAACATATATGGACTTCTAACAATCTACTTATTAAAATCTTAGAATAGCCGAGACCGGTTTGGCTCAGTGGATAGAGCGTCAATTTCCTCAACGGGAATTGCAATTACAAAATAAACATTCTTACATTTTTTTTGGCAGAGAATCAACTGAAGTCTTTCTAGAAACTCCATGTAAAAATCAAACCTGCTCAACCTTGACAACCTCCCCGCTGGCCTATTCTCTCCTCTCCTCCTCCCCTCCCTGCCTCCTGCTTCCCTGTTGCAGAATCCTTTTCAAAAACTTTAAAAATGGTATCCCATCATTCCAACATATCATAAATTACCATTACTATTAGATAGCATAATTCTGAAGTTTTACTGCGTGAAGACCCTCAAGGATCTATGCTTAGATCCTCCTCAGGCCCTGGGAGACAGGATTAATCGCTGAGAGACAGGATTAAGAACCGTACGAACACACAACTACCAGCACACCATGTAAGGTTTCAGCTTAGTGTTGTCAGCACCAAGTGTAATTCTTTTAGCTTTCTTATTTTTATTAATTTGATAGAAAAACAAGTTTATCGTGTAAATGCGTGTTTACTTATTTTAGGTGTGGTTGAAGTTTAACGGATCACTTGAACCTCTTTGTGAAGTACCTCTTCACACCCATTGCTTATTTTTCTACCAGAGTTTTATTTCTTTTTATATACTATGTTTTTGTCTCTTTTTTGAACACAACAGTTAAGTATAAGGTCTATGCAGAATCTGTGCTGTATCTCAAGTTGAAAAGTTTGCCATATGCCTGAAGAACATGCTCAGGAAGCATAGGTACACTGTCACAGACAACATGAATTCCCAACGATTGGGAATACACTTCCAGAGGAGGAATTTCTAAGCTACCCGTATAATCGTGCTTAACAAACCTCAGTGTACCAAGAAGTGATGTCTGCCCATTCAGAAGGGTTTACACCAGTGGTTCCTAATGTGGGGCACATGCCCACAGGGAGACAATTCAAGAATGAGTAATTGACAGTGAATTTTTTGCATTTCTTATAGTTCTAGGGGCCTCGTATATAGTATGTATCTATAATAATAAAAGGGTAATGTGCTAATTAACCGGATGTTCTTCTGGATGAAGCTGGGGCTACGAGGGAAGCCTGGGTCCCAGGTGCCTGCCGGCGGCAGAGGGAAGCCCGGGTCCCGGGTGCCAGAGGGAAGCCGGTGCCAGCAGCCAGGGGAAGGAAGGCCTACCCTTGCACGAATTTTGTGCATCAGTCCTCTAGTAAATATATATTGTGATGTATTTATGCATTTCAGTTCCCTATTATGTTTTGAAACTTTATTTGCTATTTTTTAAAATATCACTTCATATTATTATTTAACAATTTCTTAGTGATTTCTTCCTCACTATTTCAACTGTCCTTTTGTTCATTTTTCTTTTTCATGGAAGCCATGTTCTTTGGAAGCTTGTTTAGACCAAGTTAATAGCCTTTTAGGCTTCCTCCACGGGAATAGGAGTCATTCTTTTAATAATAAGAATTATATATCACGTGGCGGGGGGGGGGGGGGCATCAGGTTTTAGAGATGCTTAGGTGGGGCCTGGCCAAAAAGGTTGGGAACCACTGGTTGATGCCCTCTAACTCAGCAGTCACCAACCTTTCGGACTTCACGGACCACCAGTGGTCTGAGGGCCACCGGTTGGCGACCACTGTGCTGATTTATCTATAATTTATTTATTTAAATATACTAAAACATTTCTACAGAAAATGGTAAAGACAGGAGAGTTCCATATATCCCACACCGTTTCCTTCTTTCATTTGTCTCAGCTTCATCCACTTAGGAGAGGACAGAGCCAAAAGGAAAGCTAATTCCACCCATTCAAATTACAGAACACACACATAAGAAGCACTTACATCATTAGCCCACGATCCGGCAATAAGAAAGTTCCCTGGCAAGGTTGGTGGGCTAAAAGACAGACAACCAATGCTATCATCAGGAGAGGATGTCACTTCAATATCCTGGCGGGGGAAAGAAAGGTCAATGTTAAAATGTATGTATCATCCCAGTTTCATTCAAAAGTGCTTTTTTTTTTTTTTTTTTTTTTCACTGAACACCTCACGGTGAAATTCCCTTGTGCTCAAGAACTGAATCAGACCTAGACCTGTCTTACTTTGCTCAAAAAGGGTGATGAGAAAGAAGCCAGTGAAGGCACCAGCACAACCACATTTCCAGATGAGGGACCACCATCTTGCCCTTAAGTGCTGATCACAGCTATTGCCTGCCCTCCCTCCCCGCAGAGATTCTGATTCAACAGTGTAGGCCTGGCCTCAGGTGATTCTGGTGATTGGGGCAATGAGGGGGACACCAGTACAGGGACATATGGTCCCTGTGCTCCAATGTTTGAGAGAGCAACCCGACAAATGTTCAGAGCTTTCACCCCAAAGGAGGCTCCCACACTATCAGTTTCTCCTGCTGTCACTGCTGTGGGAGACCCCGGCCTGCACTCTTCAGGCAAACTCAGGATGTCCAATGTGGTACCTTCATAGGGTTGTGGTTATCTGTAGTTGTGCTGCCAAACATGCTGGTCCCACTAGTTCCAAAACCAGAGGTTGTTCCAAACAGACTCATTTTGGCTCTAAAAAGATAATGGAAAATGTTAAGGACAAGTCCTTTTTTAAGTTATAAATACCACCGAGAGGCAAAACAAAACTAATTAAGGCATAGAAGGGAAACAAAGAGTACATGGCTTGATGCTAGGCCTATCTCTATTGAAGAGATCTAAATATGTGAGAGAGTGCTTTTTAAAAATAAACTTTCTATTTTAGAAGTTTTAGATTTATAGAAATTGTAAAGATAGGAAAGTTCCTATGCACCCACAGCCAGTTCCTACACTTGTCACCATGGATAAACCAAATCTGACACATCTCTGCAGTGCTTCTCAGGCCTCAGCTAGAACTCAACTCGCTCAGGCTGTACAGCCACACTGTGCTAAGCACTAGGATACAACAGCAAATCAGCAGAGGGTCCCCCTCTTCCAGGTTCCCACTGAGTGAGAATCTACTTTCTGCTTACTAATCTCTGCTCACTAGTTTAGGTCAAGATCTCCACGTAAAGTTACTTAGAAAAGCAACCAGTCTTGGCTGCGATTTCTTTGTAAGAGTTTTTCAAAGTAATCCATTTGGTCTACATGAGCACCAGCCTCACATATGGGTGGATATTTGCCAGCAAGAATCTCCCATTATGAGTTGTTTTAGTAAACTCACCAGGGTTTAGACCCTGCTCTCACCAGGCCTTACTTTCCTGCTTTATAAATACAAAATACTTTTTCCAGGAGTACCTTGAGGATCAAATTGGGTTATACATGTAGAAAGGGCAGTAAGTACCTTGCACTTAATGGGTACAATAAACAACTTTCCTTTGCCAGGAAAAAGTCTGTGCACTGTAACTCCCTGATGACTCACGTATGCTGATAGCAAAATTTCAAACCAAGAAGCCTACCATGTCAGGCACCTCTCCCAAAGGAGTCAGGGAGCTGAGTGGCATACTTGCCAACAAGGGTAACACCTCTAAAAAAAGACAACACAGACTGGGAAACTACTAGGAATTTTGGAAAGACACTGGAGTTTCCTGAGCTTAATGAAAAATAAGCAGGTGCAGACATGCTAGGTCAAAGCAGCAACTCTGAGCACATTAATCTCTCAGAAAGCAACTCTGTGAGAGGTGGTGGTGCGTGCCAACTACCGCTGTCTTAAATGTGAGCAATGTACTTAGAACACCAGTTAATTGTATGTGAACAAACAAAGCAATGGCCAGGCTTCTGCTATGGAGTCCAGGAACTAGCTAAATCACTTTGGCCATGTTATTTAGCCTTGATTTTCTCATCTATAAAAAGTCACTGACATCCATCTCACAGGGTTATGAAAACCAAGTGAGCACACACAGTGCCTGATACTTTACTCCATTCCTTCCCCCTCTTCAACCACCGAGACAGGAGAGAACATTTCTGCCATTAGGAAAGAGCACAGGTCATTCAAGTCTTCATCGCCATTGTGGACCGCGGAATAGGCAGGGCCCTGGGAGCCCTCAGTTCAGAAGGCTCCTGTCCGCCTTTCACCTACCCCATCTCCCCCGCTGCCCTCCTCCTGCTCTCTGCCCAGCGCTCTCTGCCCCTGCACAAGGGGTGCTCACGGGCCTTGGGGCTTTCGCTCTAGCTGTGGTGGGGTCACCCTCCCTCCCCCCAACCTCCAGCTGTCTGTCAAAGGGTGCCTCCGGACAACTTTTTGAGGGGACCTAATGTTCTAAAACTGCATCGAGGTGATGTTTGCACAACTATATTAAACTCCCCAAACGCATCAACATGTACACCATGGTACTCACAATAAAGCTCTCAAACGAATATTTTCTAAAAAAGGTCACCTCCTCAGAGGCTTCTCTGCCCCGCTAATTTAACACACCCAACCTTCGATCACCGCCTCCCCTGCTCCCCTACCCCGGTTTCCTTCATAACACCTCTCACGATCTGGAATGTCTTTGCCATCAACCTCTTTCCCAGGAGAAGGCAGCTGCAAAAGCGCAGAGCTGCCTGGGCTCCCCGCGCACACCTGGCGCTCCCTCAGCACCTGGCCTGCCGGGCGGTGCCTGACAGACCCCTGCCCGGGGGGCAGAGAGAATGTATGTGTGTGTGTGTGTGTGTGTGTGTGTGTGTGTGTGTGTGTGTATGCGAGAGAGAGAGAGAGAGAGAGAGAGAGAGAGAGAGAGAGAGAGAGAGAGAGAGTGTGTGTATGTGTGAGAGAGAGAGAGAGAGAGAGAGAGAGACAGACAGACAGACAGACAGACACCTGGCGGAGGAAGACAGGAAAAAGAGACTTCGTTTCAGAGAGTGATAAGCGCAATGGGGCAATAAGGCAGGCTGACAAGGGGGGGCCAAAAGGTGATGGCTGTATCAGAACCGTCAGGCAAGGTCTCTGAGGAGGTGACATGCGTTTGACGAGAAGCCTGAATTGTGCATGGAAGGGCGGAGGCGACAGACGCTGCCTTCAACTCTGGCCCTTCTCCGTGCCTCAGTTTCCCCACAAGAGAAACGAGGGACTGAGACCGGAGGCCCCTTCCGGCTACGACGTCACTCCCAGGGACCCCCTAGGGGAGCTTTTCAACAGGCGGGCTGGACGAGGGCGCACCTGGCCGGGGAGGGAGCCCGGCTCGGCGGCGCCATGGCGGCGGTAAGGAGGAGGAGCGGCACGGAGACTACCTGAGTCGCACTACGGCGAGACGCCGGCTGCAGGGATCGGAGGGACTCGGGAGCTTGTGACCCCGCTCCGGCACGAAGGGGGCAAAGGCGAGGTGGCGCGACCACGGATCCTGCAAACCCGGGATCTCCTCACGAGCCCGGGCCGGGATCTCCTCACGCCGGCGGAGGAAACTGTCCCTATTACTGTGGAGACACCGCGCACGCGCACTCAAGCCACTTCCTGTGTCGCCCGGAAGACAAAGAAGAGATAAAAGGCTCCTTCCTCCCGCCAGGCGACGACACATGCGCACAAACGCTATTGACGCTGAGAGGAGAGCCTCCTACCAGCAGCTTGCGGATTGGTGGGAAGTTCCGACTTTAGGTAACCTAGCGACCACTCTGAGAAACCCGCAGCCTGCCTGGTGGAAGGTGGTGTTTCTCCTGTGAGTTAAAAGCCAGGCAAGATTCTGATTGCCGTCCAAGGCCGTTCTTCTAGAAACTGATGGAACTATGCGCGGGTTCCCGCCATCACTTCCCTGTTTGCGAGAGGGGTATCCTGAGCCGTCCTAGCTCTCTGGACTTCAATTTCCAGCTAAAAATGTCTAACTTCAGGGCTGTTCTTAAATTGGTTCAAGTGGAGTAATACACGCGAAAGGCTTTGGCAAATGTAAGGTTCCATAAGAATGTTAAGGGGCTGTTAGGACACCCGTGCCAAATGGAATTTTTCAGCTGGTTGCTTTTTCCTCCTTTCAGGGATGTCCAAAGCCGGGGGGGGGGGGGGGGGGGGGGGGGGGTCGGGGGGGGAAGGGAGGAGGATGAGACATTGTTATAAAATGCACTCTCAGACGGTACATGGGTACATGGTGGCTCCAAGAACCCACGTTTCTAGCAAACGCCCAGCTGGGGTTGCGGGACCATGCACTGCAGTCTCGAGATATTGAGATCAGGTATTTAGAATCCCTTAAGGGAGCTTGAGGAAGCTTTGATGCCTGGGCCTCACGTTCAGGTTCTGATTTAGTTGCTCTGGGGTGGAACTGAGGGAATTAATGTTTGTTTGTTTTTTAAAAAGCTCCCAAGTGATTCTAAGTTGCAGCCAGATTGAGAACCTTTCCTCTAGATTAGGGGTGTCGAACTCAATCAGAGAAGGGGCCAAAATCTAAAATCCAGCCTAAATCGTGGGCCGAATGGTTTACTGAACAGTCATAAACTGTCATTGTGATGGAAACGCAGCGGAGTGCAGTGATGACAGCGCGGTGCGGGCCACATTGCAAGGCCTGGCGGGACGGATTTGGCCCGCGGGCCTTGTGTTTGACACATGTGCTCTAGATAATACTTATTCTTTTGAGCACTAGATGACCCCTCTTCTGTAATTTCCTGAGCAGCCCTATAAGGTTGGTATTCTAACATTCCTCATTTTACAGAAAAGGAAAGTGTGGCTGAGAGAGGTGACATGACTTGTTAGAGACCACACAGCTGTTACGCAGTAGAGACAAGGATGTCTGCCCAATGCCTAACTCTTCTACCTACAAAACCTCAGAATCTTCTCCAAGTCCTCCCTCCTCAACGAGACCTTCCCTCATTCTTCCCCAAATGAATCATCACGTTCCATCTCTCTTTAAACGCAGAGCCTTCTCAAAGCGATCTCAGTGCTGATATTTGGCCTAGCAAAACTGTATTTGCCTTGTCCAGCTTCCTAGACCTTAAACATTGTGTCTTAATTCCATGTACATCTTTTGCAGCACCAAGCACAGCATCTTACATACATTCAGTGTTAATATTTGTTGAATGATATTGTTCTAGTATGTACAAAGAATCTTCCATAAATACCTATTATGATACAGATTCTTGCATAATACCAGTAGATTCAGCATACTTTAAAAAATATTTCTGGCCCTAACTGGTTTGGCTCAGTGGATAGAATGTGGGACTGTGGACTCAAGGGTCCCATGTTCGATTCCAGTCAAGGGTGTGTACCTTGCTTGCAGGCACATCCCCAATAGGGGGTGTGCAGGAAGTAGCTGATCGATGTTTCTCTCTCATCGATGTTTCTAACTTGCTCTCCCTCTCCCTTCCTCTCTGTAAAAAATCAATTATATCTATCTATCTATCTATCATCTATCTATCTATCTATCTATCTATCTATCATATTTCTGCTACTTGGGGTTCTTTTTTTATTATTAGTCCTCACCCCAGGATATTTTTTCCATTACTTTTTAGGGAGAGCGGAAGGGAGGGAGAAAAGGGGGAGAGAGAGAGAGGAAAAAAATGATGTGAAAGGGACACATCCATTGGTTGCCTCCTGCATGAGCCCCAAATGGGTCAGAATCCAACCTGCAACTCAGGTCTGTGCCCTTGATCTTGACTGAGAATTGAACCCATTGTCCTTCAGTGCTCAGGCAGACACTCAAATCACTAAGCCACACTGGCCAGGGCTGTAATGCTTTGGGTTCTGATTGACAAGCTGCTTTTACACGGACTATCAGTGGAACAACAGCAGCAGCATGCTCACCAAAATGTGATAACAACTACCTTTCCTTGACTCTTTCTAAAGGGTATTATTCAGCCACATACTTTTTATGAATTACCTCACTTAATCGTTGCAATGACTCTATAGGATAGATATATTGTATACCATTTTATGGTTGACAAAATCAAGGTCAAGAAAAGAAAAATAAAATAAAACAACAACAACAAAAACCAAGGCCAGGTGGTAACTTGTCCCAGCCACAGAGGCAGTGAGAAGTGGATGTGGGATCCAAGCAGCCTGTTTCCCTAAATCTGACTCTACTTCACAGATGGCAGATTGTGGCGTGTCGGTCACACTTTCCCTCCTTAGAAACAAGAAGGGAATCACCACAGTTTACATTTAGGGGCATGATTATTGTGCCATAGATTACAAGTGAAAAGTTATTAAAAGTAAACAATAATTAAAATTAAGTTTTGGTCATTTACATTGGTAAATCTTTTACACAGGGATAGTATGAAAGACTGCACAGTTTATATTCCATTGCTATGTGAATAAAAATGGAGTATGTTTGCAATTTTGTGTTAGTTCCTTTGTATTTGAAGTGATCTTTAATTCTTAAATTTTAATTAAAATTTTTAATATGTTTAAGGTTTTGTAAATAGCTCAGTTGCAAAGAGGCACACATTAAGTGCAGCTTTACAAGGGATTAGGGGCATCCGAAGCTGGAGATAAGAAATGGATCCCTGCCAAATACTCAGTGTCCACACAGCTCCTGTTTTCCCCAAATTCTTTTGTTGTGTGTCAGACTTTCACCCCATTCCTTAAAAAAATGACTTGAAAATGTTCTAAAGAAATGCGGTAGGATTTGAAGAGAACTGTAGAGCTTCTGCCAGCAGAGGGCGACACAAGATTGTTTTCTTGGGATGTACTGATGAACAGAAGTAATGTTTCTCAATACTTTCTACAAAAACATTCCACTGAAACTATTTTTTAGTGTACATGTACATTCGGCTTAGCTTTGAAAGCATTTTTTTCTTTTCAGCACCACTGCACAGGTATCTACACCAAACAGGAAGACATTCTCATTAAAGGAAGTATTTTTTTTGTGTGTGCCTATTTTGTAGATAGTGCAATATGTTCCCTCCCCCATGAAATCATGATTTCTGAAATAATTTAGCATCATCAATGATGACAGTTAAATTTCCCAGAAATGTGAGGATATCATAAGAACTTACTAGGGTGATTATGAGCCTTCAAGGAAAAAAAATTCTCTGAACATCTTTTTGTTACATATGTTTTTGTTACTTTAAATTATAAACAGATTCCAATTCAAATGATGTTCTTGATTAAAATTATGGAAATATTTAAAATAAGTGCAAAAGATTATAGCAGAGGGGATGTCTGTTGTCAGTTGCCATTTTAAAAAGCTGACTATTTCACAATAATGTTTTTTTGGAAACAAAACTTAAGAATTAGAATTCTAGATCAGTGGTCACCAACCGGTGGTCCTCGGACCACTGGTGGCCCATGAGGTCCTAAAAGTTGGTGACTGCTGTTCTAGATGATTCTCATATAGCTACTAACATTAATTTTTCATCTGCATCTAATAAAGATGGGTACTGATGCCAAACAATGGTGTATTTTTCTCTTTCCATTTCCCAAATAAAGATCATTATTATTTTTAATCCTCACCTGAGGATATATTTTCATTGATTTTAGAGAGAGGCAGGGGGAAGGAGGTAGATAGAAACATCTGTGAGAGAGAAACATCAGTTGCCTCCTGTATGAGTTCTGACCAGGAATCGAGCCTGCAACTTTTGGTGTGTGGAACAATGTTCCAACCAATTGAACCACCCAGCCAGGGTAGTAAAGATTATTTTAAGTAAATTTCCAATCATAAACCTGAGATGACTTTAACTATCCAGACTGAATATATCTGCCTTTTTCAAATTTATTTTTGAATTTCAATAACTAGTGTAGATTTTTCATTCCTTTCCATTTTGACTGCAATACTGATCCAGAGATTTTGAGGTTTAACCATATATTTCTAAGGTAGTAATCTTCTTTACAAAACGTGAAGTTTAATGATACAATTACATGTTAGCAGAAGATATATGGTATGAAGAAAAAAAATGTGACTTATAAAAAATTTTTTTCTAGAATTTTTTTATAGTCTCACAAAGCAAGTCAACAGTATTATCAGAATGTTCTCAAAATGCAATACTTAGTTCTGACGTGACCAGGGAATATTAACAAAATTGATGACACCACAGGCTTGGCATGGGGGGGCCTTGATTTGACATCAAACCAACAATAAGAATTGTAGACCTTTCCCAAGCAGTGTGCACGCCTGGCCACATGGAGCACGTAGGTGTACCAGTGTCATGGTTAAGCATGAGCTCTGGAGCTAGACCCTCTGGGTTTAAGTCCCAGCTCTGCTGCTGAGCAGTTATGTGACCTTGGTAAAGTTAATTAACCTCTGTACCTTTGTTGTCTTGTCTGTAAAATAAGGATAAGAAGAAAACTACCTAGCTTATAGGATTTCTATGACCATGCAATTAATGTTTATAAAGCAACTAGAAAAATACCCGGCACAGAATGTGTTATATAAGGTATTTTCTTTTATTACTAGAAGCCCGGTGCATAAAATTCGTGCGGAGGGGTGGGGGGCGCAGTTGTCCCTCAGCCCAGTTTGCAACCTCTCCAATCTGGGACCCTTTAAGGGATGTTTAACTACCCA